AGAAGCCTCCATACCTGTTGTCCTACGTTCTGCAGCAGCCAGTAAGTCTAGCCTGCTAGGTCAGTAGTACAGCATGCGCATTCTCTGCTGGGTAATCTACCACTGCTGGCTTTTCGCCCCAATCAGACTTGAAAAGGAGATTTTCAAGTCTTGTTTCAGCTTTATTTCTCTCTGTCTTGCAACCAAAGTGTGTTGTATCTCATGTAAATTGGTTCAGGTGGCTGGCCAAAGGCAATGACAGTAGACTGTGTTGTTCTAAGAGCTTCTGGAACCCCCTTGACTGATAACTCACATGGAGGTGTCTCATGCCTGACACTGGGTTCTCTTTTAGTTATCTGTGTCGTCCAGCGAAAGCATTGTCTACCCATGTAGGGTACCTGTGTTCAAGGTCATTTTTAAAAATTATGTGTTTTAATTTTTAATTACTTTACAAAGTAGCTGAGTTCCACAAGAGCTTTTTATATGTCCTCAACTTAGGTTGACTGGTGCCCACTCTGCTTGCTCTCCTGGAGATGAAATTCTGTAATGTAAAGAGAACCATTTCATAGTGGACCATTCCGGGCAGTCATGACCTACATCCATGATCTCCTGGTTATCTCCATCACGTCAAAGTCAGTGTTGTCCCCTGCTTCTCCACAGCCAGGAAGACAGTCTGCGTTGTCCAGCCTCTATGACTTCATCTATTCTGGCTATTACATATTAGTGGAATCACAGAGTGTGGGGGCTTCTGTTTAATGCCTTCCACTACATGCATAGCTTGTTTTGTAGATTCAATTGTTTCATAGCATGCCTCGGTAGTTCATTTACTTTTATGGTTGAAAAACTATTTCCATGACTGAATAATGTCCCCTTGTGTATGTATATGCAGATATACAATTGCACACAAGAACACACATAGCAATTAGTCTATTCACTCATCCACTGATAGACGTGAGACTCTTTGGTCAATTGTGACTCTTGCTGCCAAGAACATAGGTTTACATGTATCTGTATGATTACCTTTTAATACTTTGAAAAACATTTATGAGTTGAATTTTATTGTCTATGATCTTAAAATGAAGATGTAGATAAGAAATATCTAACAACAGATCCACAGATAATTATTTCATTAACAAGAAAAAAAAAAGTCTGCAATGGACTTAAGAATCAGCATTTTTTTAGGTCCTTTGCAGAGGCCTTGTCTCCCACGGGGATTAATGGATGCGAAGGGCATGCATGACTTCGGCAAGTCACACTACCTCAGTGGGACGCAGGTAACTTATCCCTGTGAGGTGGGGAATCTGACTGAGCTCAGGTGTGTCATGAGATTAAGTCAGGAAATAGTGCAACGAACGTGGAGAGCTCGGCGACCTTGGGCCTCCTCCATTCCTCCATCCTTGTCATCAGGTATTTCAGAAGAACTCTGTGCGTGTTCACAGCCCAGCAGCGTCTCTGAACCGCCAGAGGAATGCGGATTTAGCCAGCTGCTTCATGTGACAGCGATGCCGAGTGTTTCCTGTGCACCAGTGTATTATAGGGATTTCGTTTTCTCCTCTAGAAGGCAATCAGCTGCTTTTCCCATCTTAAAAGGACTTACCGAAGTAAAGGACTTCCATCTGGAAGATGCCATTAGAAGCACTCTTTCTCTCTCTCTCTCTCTCTCTCTCCCTTCCTTTCTTCCTTCCTTCCTTTCTCTCTCTTTCCCTCTTTCTTTCTTTCTTTCTTTTTCTTCCTTCCTTCCTTCCTTCCTTCCTTCCTTCTCTCTCTCTCTCTCTCTCTCTCTCTCTCTCTCTTTCTTTCTTTCTTTCTGTAGGATGCTGAAGGTGCTGGATAGAAATGATTAAAGGTAACTAACATCATCATTGTTTGTAAATATGGAGAAAACTGATTTTAATGTTCACGTGAAAGACATGTAAGCTGACGTCAAAGGTGTTTGAACTTTTGGCAGCTTTTGTGCACTTCTGGTTTGTGGCGAGGTCTGTGTCCAAGGGAAGCTTGCCAATGTGGTCTGAGTTCTAACTTGAGAAAATTTTGGTTTCTAATCGTTGAAGGAAATACCTATAAATGGCATAAGTACTCTTATTTCCAAAAATAAAGCTAGCTTTATGATATGATATAATATAATATAATATAATATCATGATATATATGCATGTGGACTTGAGGATGTGACTTTTGGATCTCCAGAATCACAAGAAAGAAATGCTCATCCTATCTGTGTAGAGGCATATTATTCTCTCTTTTTCTGTGTGTGTGCTCCTTAAAGATCTCTAAGTGATGAGAAATGAGAAGGGTTAAGCTAGCATCAGAGGAAAGGAAAACAGCATGAACAAGAAGCTGTGAAGAACATAGAGCATTTTGGTGTAGAATGAACGAGCAAGAAGAGTGAACTAAGAGACAGACAAGCGAGATCATCCTAGGAACACAGCTTGTCCTGTATGTCCTTGACCTCTCACGTTGCACCTTGAAGGACCCACTGTGCAGATAGTGAATGCCAGGCACTGAATTCTTTATCTTCCTTAGGGCACTGACTGACGAAGTGAATATTACACAGTACCCCACCATACAGACAAGAAGACAGAATCAGAAAAACTGGCGTGGCCAATTATAAGGCACAACAGCTAAGATCTTACTGAGTCTAGGATAAGAGGAATTGAGGAACAGTGTCCTTTCTGGTCTTGGAAGTGCAATTTCCCCATCCCCTGACTACTCTGTTTTTGAGATGGAGGCTCACCGTATCATTCTGGTTAATCTGGAAGCCACCCTGTAACCCAGGCTAGTCTTACACTTATGGCAATTCCCCCCACCTCATCCTGCTGAATGCTGGGGTTGTGAGAGTAGGCCACCACACCCAGATATGGCTTCCTTTAATGCTTGTGATCTTCAGAGCTCCATGGAAAATTCTTTAAGGGGCTCCTATAGATGGAGAGGTCACTGGGGGACATCTGGCTCATTTCTCTTACACAGTTCAAGGACAATGTAAATAAGGTACCATTCACCATGAGACCCAGACTAAAGGAGTCCATTACTTTATAAGACATCTATCAAACGTTTGCCAGTGCACTTGTGAAGAGATGCCTTGCAAGTCCTTCAATGGTCATTTTTACCTGGTAAAACTTTGTAAATTGTTTCCTACTTATTTCACGCATTAAGTTGTTTCTTCGTTCACTCCAAAATATTAAATGTTAGGCTTGATCTTATTCATCTTTGAAATCGCAGCTTTGAATAACAATTGCATCATCTGAATAGTGTTTTCTATTTTCTTTTTAACACTGTAGTTAACTCTTTGCCTGGGATGGAACATTAAAGTATTCAGTGCTGACCTTCCGTTAACTCTGTGAAATATGATTATCATCCAAGAGAGTTCTCTAGTTTTCTAGTCTCTGGATAAGTTGGCCAGTATGCCTTCTGTGTCTTCTCTATATATTCATTCACACACTGAATCAAGGGCTGGCAAGATGGCTCGGTGGGGAAAGGTTCTTGCCATGAATGTTGATGACCTGAATTTGATCCCTGGAACCTTCATAAAGGCAGAAGGAGAGAACTAAATTTTTTTAAAAGTTGATTTTTATTGAGTTCTACATTTTTCTCTGCTCCCTTCCCTGACTCTCCCCTCCCCTTCAACCTTCCCCCAAGATCCCCATGCTCCCAATTTACTCAGGAGATCTTGTCTTTTTCTACTTCCCATGTAGATTAGATCTATGTATGTCTCTCTTAGTGTCCTCATTGTTGTCTAAGTTCTCTGGGATTGTGAATTGTGGGCTGGTTTTCTTTGTTTTATGTTTAAAAACCACTTATGAGTGAATACATGTGATAATTGTCTTTCTGTGTCTGGGTTCCCTCACTCAAAATAATGTTTTCTAGCTCCACCCATTTTCCTGAAAAATTCAAGATGTCATTATTTTTTCTGCTGTGTAGTACTCCATTGTGTAAATGTACCACATTTTTAGCCAGTAATACCACTTTTGGGTATATATCTAAAGGATGCTCAATTGTACCACAAGGACATGTGCTCAATATGTTCATAACAGCATTGTTTGTCATAGCCACAACCTGGAAACAACCCCTCGACCAAAGAGAACTAACTCTAAAACCTTGTCCTCTGACCTCCATGTGCACCCTGTTTGTCTCTTCCAATGAGAAATCTTTTCTTGCTCTGCTTGGGAACTTCTTGCAATAATATTTCATTTGTGTTTTAATAAAGAAAGCTTGCCTGAAAGTCAGAAAAGAAAAACAGCTGACCTGCTCAGCATTATAGACCAGGCAGTGGTGACACCACCTTTAATCCCAGTAGCCACACTAGTTTGCCATAGAAACGAGGTGGTAGCAGTGCACAAGTCTCATCCCAGCACTAGAGAGGGATACAAGATAGGAGGAGACAGCTCTCAGACTCAGTATCTTTTTGAGATTTCCTAGAAGCAAGATCACCATTTCAGACTGAGGTAGAGCTAAAAGCCAGTGGCTGTCTGTTTTGCTTTCCTGACTTTCAGGTTGAACCCCAATATCTGTCTCTGGGTTTTATTCTGTTCATTCTTATATGTTTTTCTGTTTTTTTTTTTTTTTGTGGTGGTATCACTGTGCAGTCCAAACTGACTTGACAGCCGGCTTCTCACTTCAGCGTCTGACACACACCATTACACCAGCTCAGCCTTAAATCTGAAAAGAGCAACTTCCTCTAGGAAAACCCACCTGTGTCTCCAGGACAAGCTCCGCCTTCTCAATTTTACTCAAATTATAGATCTCATGGACTTACTGCCATGTGCTGAGTAAATTTACTTGTATGTCCTTCTCTTCCTCAGACAAGGCCTTGGCCTATTTTATGATCAGCCCAGAACAAAGCCTAGAACACAAGGCTTATTCCGACAAAGGTTTATTACAGAATGAGTTCGAGATGAAGGTACAATATTGGTTTCAGTTAGAATATATAGAGTGATGAATGTTGGTCACAAAAATAACATGCCATAGCCTGTTCCTGGGACCTGTGAACATTGCCCTGTGAGACAGGGGCAAACATCACTTCAGGTGGGGAGACGAAGCCTACTGTGGATCGTCCGAGAAGAGAACTTGGAGAAGTGTAGAGAAGCACAAAGGTGGAGAGAAGCAGAAAGGTGGAAAGAAGGACAAAGATGCAGAGAAGCACAGAGGTGGAGAGAAGCACAGAGGTGGAGAGAAGCACAGAGGTGAAGAGAAACACAGAGGTGGAGAGAAGCATAGAGGTGGAGAGAAGCACAGAGGTGGAGAGAAGCACAGAGGTGGAGAGAAGCACAGAGGTGGAGAGAAGCACAGAGGTGGAGAGAAGCACAGAGGTGGAGAGAAGCACAAAGATGGAGAGAAGCACAGAGGTGGAGAGAAGCACAGAGGTGGAGAGAAGGACAAAGTTGGAGAGGAGCACAGAGGTGGAGAGAAGCACAAAGGTGAGGAGAAGCACAGAGGTGGAGAGAAGCACAGAGGTGAGGAGAAGCACAAAGGTGAGGAGAAGCACAGAGGTGGAGAGAAGCACAGAGGATAGGAAATTGAAGCGATAGAACTGCAAACCAAGGGGCATCTAGATACCTCAGAAGTTGGAAGAAGCATGGAGTCAATTCTAGGGCTCAGGAAGGGACTTGGGCCCTCAGGAGACCTTCTGAACTTCTAGCCTCCAGGGTTAGGACAAATAAAAGCATCAATTGTGGCAATCTGTAACAGCATCCCAAGGAAGCCATGCTAATCTCTTGCGGTAACATTTCTGAAGTGAAGTTCCCGTCAAAACGATGAGTTCTTTGGATCGAATAACATCAGGGACGTTACACAGACAAGACTTTCCCTGAACAGCTTTTCCGGTCCTGTACAAGACAAAGGAGCATTGTGATCCCCAAGACTCTAGTGCTTCTGGGCACCTTGGGCCTCAGAACGCACCTTTCCCTTCCTTTGAAATGTCTGTTACCCTTTGTCTGTAGATGCTAATGTTCAACAGAGCAAACTTCTAGGGTCTGTGATGGATGGCTAGGGCCCTCCTATACGAACAGTGCAACCAGGTGGAGGTGTAAGGGAAGGCACACAGGGCATTGTGCTGGCAGCGTGCACACACGAAAACACCCTAAGGAGCGCGGAATGCCTTTGCAAATATCTAATGTTTGCTTGGCACAGCTTTTCGGGTTGAGCTTTGCAAAATCTTCCTCGGGCTTTGTTTTCCTGGCTGCTGCGGAGTCGATTCATGTCTCAAGGCAAGTTGGGGCTCGGGTGGAGGGAAACCGCCGCAGAACGAAGTGGATTTATTTGGTCTCCAGGTGAATGTGAAGGAATGGCCAGTTCAAACTACAATGTGGAATATTAATGCTTGTTTGGGGGTACACTTACCCTCACTGCTGCTGTTTATTCTGCTTCAGTGTCTTGAATTCTCTCTCTTCCAAATGTCAGCAACAGCTTAATAGTTCAGGGTATAACTCGGTTCAATCATATCTGAAAGAAATAGACATTGTATTTACTTTGGCAAACCCGTCATCATTTACCCCTGCAGCAAAACGGAGGGGAATCAGGAAGCCCAAGGATTGGACCTGGTAATAGAACAAACAGGGCTCCCAGCAATTAAGTTCTGGAGTTGGGGTAATGGCTTGCAGTGTTAAGAAGTGAATAGGCCTACATGTTTTCATTTATTGTTTTTCAACTTATAGACTATATTCAAAACAACAACAACTCAAGCTCGTGAAGATATCTCCATGAAGAGAAAACCATTTCTAGCCATGTTGCAAGCTGAGCAGACTTAGACTAAAGAGAAGTAGGAGTAAAACAGAAAACGCTAGAAATTTTATCTTACCAGCATCTCATTAGCTTAACCTTATAGAGATTCACTTTATTACGTACCGATTTGTTTGCGTGTTTGTTTATCATGGTGTACATGTGTTCAGGAATGTGTGCATATGCATGTGAAAGTTTTTTTGCACAGGTGTGCACATACACTGATCAATATTGAGTGTCTCCCTTAATTGTCCTCCGTTTATTTTTTGGGGGATCATCCCTCACTGAACCTGGTGCTCATCAATTAGGTTAGACTGGCTGGCCAGCAATCCCTAGAGATACTATTGTCCCCCCCTCCCAACCCCCAGACCTAGGATTGCAGATGCATGCCACCACCCTCGGCTGATTGAATGAATGATGATTGATTGATTGGGGGCTGGGAATCAAACTCGGGTCCTCAAGTTTACAGGGAAATCACTTTACTGGCAGGGTTATTGCTCTCGTCCCTGCTTCTTCCCCCTCCCCCATTTAAAACTCAAATCATCTTGTGGCCACTCCCATTTTAAAGATTTCAAGAATGCATGTCTTAAATTACAGTGACTCTAGGACATCTCAATTAGCTTTAATTTTGGTTTCCCCTTACACTCTGCCAGGTCACCTGCGCTTACCCTGTCTCCCCAAGGCTGCCTGTTCAGACATGGTTCCTATATCTTTGCATTTATAGTCCAGGAAACTTAATGGAAATGACTCTTTCAAATTTTATATTCCATTTTTTTCTCCTTTAAGGAACCAGAGTGGTCTAACTTTTGTAAAGAATAATACCTTGCTGCTTGGGCATAAAGGTACCAACAGATCCACAGTCCTGGGAGGACATCACTCTACAGATGTCTCATCCGGACAATTTAATCTTTGTGACCTCTGATCTTCAGTACCTTGACCTCTGACCTTAAGTACCCATAGACAAAAATGTAACCCCACAAATCCACATGACATACCCTCCCAGCCTTTTCCCTCATAGTTTAATATACAGCAAATATTAAGACCAGCCTGTAATAGGTTGGAGATAATTCTGTTCTTTGGAGTGGTGAGTTTCCTTCTGCAACGACTGTGTGTGGTTGTCCACAGACGTGTGTGTGTGTGTGTGTGTGTGTGTGTGTGTGATGTGTATGCACCATGAAGCACAAAAAACATGATACATACTTTCCCACAAGCCAGCCAGCGAGAGCCTTAAGTCACTTCTATGTGGTGTGCAGTTGACCCACAGGCGAGAAGTCATGATATAAGGAAATGAAGTTCATGTATGAGATAATGGGGCATCTTCTCATCTTGTCCCATGGAGAGAGGGTGAAAGAAAGACTTCGCCCCTGAATGTGAAAAAATTCTCTTTGTAGAGAGAAGGGGTGAACGTCTCCTCTTCTGACCTGGAATGTAAACAGAGGACTTTCTTTCCTTCTTTTTTTTTAATCTTCTTCTTAATTTGTTTTGAGATTTTTTAAATTTTATTTTCTGTGTATGAGTGTTTTATGCATATATGCCTATGGGCAGCATACATGTTTCTGGTGGCTCCAGAGGATTCAAGAGGGCATCAGATTCCTTGGAACTGAAGTCATAGACAATAGCTCTCAAGCACTCATGTGGATGCCAGGAATTGAACCTGGGTCCTCTGCAAAAGCGGCATGTATTCTTGGTTCCTGGATCTGTTAGTATTCAGGCATCCATACTGGCCTGACCTTGGGGTATACGTCCTCAGCTGCAGCCACTAAGAGCATCTTAGTTCCCTTTCAAAAGGGCCCTGTCCATGTTCCATCTCTTTCTCTTTCTCCATCTGTCTGTGCATTTCTCTGTCTGTTTGTGCATTTCTCTGTCTGTCTGTGCATTTCTCTCTCTCTCTCTTTCTCCATCTGTCTGTCTGTGCATCTCTCTCTCTGTCTCTCTCTGTCTCTGTCTCTGTCTCTCTCTCTCTCTCTCCTTTCCTGCTACGCCTGTCCCCAGAGACTGGTCTCCCCTCTCCCCCTTTCCCATTCACTTTCCCCCAATAAAAAGATCAGAACTCAGAAGTACGTGGCATCTGTCTCTCACACACCGCTTTTTGTTTTTCTAAATTACAACAGAACCCTTTTGCTTTCTTGATTCCAACCAAAAATTTCAAGAATTCTAGACCATTATAAGCTGAGAGTCCATTGACATAAGCACATCTTCGATTGAGCACCCATGACCTATAATGCTCCAGGTCAAGAGTGTGGTCATTTTAGCCTAAAACTTAGCAATAGTTAAGAAAGTAAGCCATGTTAACGTCCCCACCTGTGAGAAAAGTAGACGCGGAGAGGCAGCTTTCATCTTGGGTTTTTATTTCCTTAACTTTTTTCAGTTTTATAAGAATGAAATTAATCAGTGTAAATTACATATATGAAGGAACATAACCCGAGTTTTTAATGTCAACAATACACGATATTTACACACAATGACACATATGGTATTTGCACATAATGACACACATTTATGAGGCATCCTATGATAGTTCCGTAACTTCATACAGTAATCATAATCAAATCAGGAGGGCAGCATTCTGACTCCTCAAACACTTACATCTCCATCCTGGAAGCTGAGAAGCTGAGTCTTTTCTTTTCTTTTATTTCGAGACAGGATTTCTCTGTGTAGCTTTGGAGACTGTCCTGGAACTCACTGCTGTAGACCAGGCTGGCCTTGAACTCACAGAGATCCACCTGCCTCTGCCTCCCAAGAAGCAGAGTCTTTTGATCACATTTAATAGATAGTGAATTGCTGTCAGGTGGATTTCCTCCGCTAGGCTGTCGCAGTAGCTCCTCCCTCTTTATTTGCCCCCTTCTAACTGGCCTCCTATTTCCCAACCTCCCTTGCCTTGACAATCTCTGTTTGAGCTGCTTCTATTAGATCAAGGCAGCACAAATAATAAAAACGCAGAGCCAGATATTGGGGTTCAATCTGAAAATCAGAAAAGCAAAGCATCTAAGCCGCTAGAAAAGTCTTACCTCTCCGAAGGCTGGGCAACTACACACTAAACAGACTGAGTATCCAGAGCCTCTCTCCCCTTCCATTTTGTATCCCCTCTAGTGCTAAGATTAAAAGTGTAAGACTCCCAAGGACTGAAATTAAAGGTGTGAGGCAACCACCACCTGGATTTGTTTCTGCATTGATTACCCTAGCTCAGGGTGGCCTTGAACTCACAGAAACCCATCTGTCTCCCGGATCCTGGGATTAGAGGTGTGTGTCACCATGGCCTGGCCTCTGGCAGCTTAGCTTTGCCCTTCTGATCTTTAGGCACGCTTTATTTATGAAAACACAAATAAAATATCATTCTAGGTCAATTCGGCAACCTCCACAAATGAGAGCATGGGATGTTTGTTTGCTTAAGCCTGCTTTATTTTATATAACACAATTTCTTCCACCTCCAGGCCCGTTGACACAAATGGTAAGATTCCATCCTTTCCAGCACTGAAAATTACTGTCTTTTGCAGATATACTATATTCTCTTTATCTATTCTGTTGAATCAACTGCGTGAACACTGCTGAGGGCCCATGTCCTTACTTCTGCCTGGGGCACACAGCTCTTTTTTTGGGGGGGGGTGCTGTAAAGCTGGTTTGCTATCTGCCTTCTCACTTTCCTCAGACACATGGCCAATACATGGTAGGTGTTTGCTGGGAAAGTTAGCGTTTGATAAATGTCGGTTGAATTCAATTGGTTACTTAATGGCTTAGGGCCAGGGAGATGGCAAAATATTTATGAGAACTTTCCTTATGTTAAAAAGCCTAAGAAAT